ATTGATTGTATCATTCAAAATCCGTCTCACAATTCAATATGACAATTGAATGAAATATATCTTTTTTATTTATGTGGGGCAAAAAGCTCTTACAGCTCTTTTGGGCATGTGCCTGATTGTAAGCCGATAGCATTGGATTAAATACAACCACATCACATAACCACATAAATACGCCCCACTTCGAATAATCCGCAAGCCATATCAATGAGCGACCGCAGCACGCGCCATAAAAACGATCAATGATGACCTGAGAGGGAGTGAGAGAGCCAGAGCGAGAGAGAGAGAGAGAGAGATACAAACTGGATCAATACCTTTTTATCGTGGATATGTTGCTGCCATTTAATTTACAAATAGATATGAATTCTAATTAATTTCTTACACAATTTATTAAATACGCTTATTCAGCGCAAAAGATACTCAGACTGTGTGGGCTAGCCAGGCGCAGCGTACAGGTTCATGCACACAATAATACTTGTAAAACATATCTGACTTATAAAATTGGGCTATGTGTTTAGGCTGTTTACCCATTGAAATTATGGAAACAGAGTTTAATGGGGTAATGCAAATGTATGCAGACGAAAGCATCCCCAAAATGTATATTCTTAGTCGGCATGAAAAGCAGAGTCTATTCGAGCCAGTCTGTCTGAACACGTCAACCCGAGAGAATAATTAAGAGAGTTAAGTTTGAAAGAATTTTTTATTATTTTTAAGGACAAACTGTTCCTTGTTAATTATATCAAGTTTCTATAACACTTTAAAAACAATAAAGGTTTGATTTAATTTTTCAAATGGTAAAATTGAAATGGTGTTGGTGAGTTAACGCCTGAGACTCGTCACACATTCCGATGCTCCCAAGGTTCAACAGGTGTGGCTGATTAGCGAAAGGTGTAAAAAAATGCGATTACGATTGCGAATGCTGATACTCTGCGGAGAACGCGCAACACCTCCGCCCGACTGAGGCTGTGCAGCCCCTAGAAACCTCAAGCTCGAGCTTCCAAAGTGCCTCGCCCAGCCAGCCCCACATTGAGGGGAATACGAGGCACCTGTTTACGTCGCGAAAACATTTTGTTTATACTCTTGCGAGGGGTAATTGCAACTTCGCGGCATGTTTATTTGTGTGCATTTATTGTTGGCTTAGTTCGCTTCCTCAAGTGGCGGGTGCTGTCAGGCTGATTACTTTTTTATGTCAGAGGGTGTATAAGGCTATCTGAAATGTTTTGCAGCGAGCTATTTTGACGGGAAGTGACTAAATACTTATGACTCTTCGTGATAAGCGAAAGTTGCCAAATTGCAAAATGAACTATTAATACGGCCAAGTGAATATGTAAACAACTACTGATATTACAATATGGACACTGAGAGTTTGGAAAAATCTGGACCTACTACAAGAATTAACACTCTTTGGGTTGACCAATTAAAGCCAAATCAAAATAAATTGATTTCAATTCCATGCACGTGCAATGCACTCGCAAAAACGGGAGCTCAGCCTAGTTAAGACTTTATCATCGGCTGTCTAGAATGCAAATCTGTTATAAACATTAAGCAATTAGTCATCTAAAGGAAGCCAGCTATTCATATGCAATTCTTATTCATAATACAATGAACAAGAAGAAAAGTAATGATAACAATTTATGAATAGTTCAAGTGACGTCAGCTAGATAAGGGGCATAGCAAAAAAATAGAATTCCATTGGTCAAAAATCTTTGTTAGCCAAATAATAATTGATTAATTAGCAGCAATCATGACAATCATCCCAGGTATAAACAATATGGGCATTCTAATCCGCAAGGCCCAAAACAAATTTAATTAACATAACGACTGTATTAACACTTAAACATGAAAAGAGATACAAAAATAAATATAAATGAATGACAAACAAAAATTATAAATACCAATTTTACAAGTTAACGAGCCACAGACGCCGTCGTTTGCGAATTCAGTTAGTAATATTATATGAGTAAATATCGCGGAGACGCGTAAATGGGAACCCGTTCCTATAGCGGAGCTTAAAAGCTTCTGAATGCAATCCAATCAATACGTCATAACATTCCGACAGCTGACTGAGGAGGAATGCAAGTGACGTCACATTCATTCGACATCGCGGCACAGGTGCAGATTCACCGGTCAGTGTGCGTTAAATCTGTGGTTATGACTCATATGAAAGTCCCCCAAAGAGAAAATCCCAAGACGAACTCATTTTCGTATCGGTCCAAGCAGCAATTAGCCCCACATCCGCCGCGTCCTCTTCTTAACACTTCAGTGGCTCATGGCTTGGTTCACCGCGATGCGGTTCCACTTCATATCCACTCAAAAATTATACACACGCATCAAAAGTGAAGTTGCAGCCAAAGATGCCAGCAAAAGAGAACCACAGTGAGCCAGGACCTCCCCCCTAACACCCCCTCATATATTGCTGGTAAACAAGTTTTCGTTTGAGCAGCCAAGTCCCCTCATGATGTGCCATGGGCCAGCTTAAGCTGTGCTTAATAATTTCTTGGGCTGTAAGTGAAACCAGTTTCTCCATATTTCAATGCTGTGTGGGGCCCCGTTTCAAAGAATTTAGATGATGGTATATGATTGGGCCCCCAAACTCTATGTAATATGCAAACTAACGCATTTAGCAACCGAATTAAAGCCTGCGAGACTGGCTGCGAGAAGGCTGGCCCAACTTTTGACATCCCAAGGGATATCGTGTTGTGCTCCAATTATATTGGCCACATAAAAACAATTACTGCAAAACGCAGTTTTAATTTTCATTCAAATGAAAATAAACAAAGTAAAGTATAATTATTTATAGCTTGTTGATGGGCAGGTTTACCCGTTACCAGGCAACTGTAGACCCAGTAACTGAGCCGGAGAATGCCGGGGGCTAGTGGGTGCAAATGTAGCACGCGTAGAGCGGTAGCAATCCGACTACTCACACTCTCATGTGACTGACAGACCGCAAAGAGCCGCCACCGTTCCAGCTGGCAGTGAGAACTGAGCGAGCATGTGAGCAAGACAGACGGAGAGGAAGAGAGAGAAAATCACGGCCAAATTGGGCCCCGAGCCAGACAAGATATTCAAGCAGCGTCGCTCGGTTAGTTAAGCGCGGTTTGGCATTCGGTAGAGACCTCTGTTTAATCGCATCTTCGTTTGGGAGTCGGCTGATAGTGCGCCATGTCCAAGTACACAAAGCTGGCCCGCGGAATATGCGATCTACTGCTCTGGGCAGCCCTCACAGCGGCCAGCCTGCTGCTCTACAAGCTGGTGCGACCCTTCAGGCGCGGATTCTTTTGCGGCGATGAGTCACTGGGCTATCCACTGAGGGAGAGCACAATCGGAAGTGCGTTGCTCATCGGAGTGACGCTGGCGGTGCCCACGTCCGTGATCATTGTTGTCGAGCTGTTTAAGCAGTTGCCCGCTGGTGCTGGCGGCCGGGATTTGGCGGCACGGGACAAGCGGGACGGTTGCCGTTTGGTGCATCGGCTGGCGCAGCTGTACAAGCAGGCCGGATACTATCTGTTTGGGCTGGCCATGCTGACGTTCACCACGATACTGACCAAGCTGTGCATTGGACGTCTGCGTCCGCATTTCTATGCTGTATGTCAGCCGATGCTGCCAGATGGCTCCACCTGCCAGGATGCACAAAACGAGGGACGTTATATTGACACCTACACCTGCAGCAATGCCAATGTGACGGACTTTCTGTTCCAGCAGCTAAACCAGTCCTTTCCCAGTGGGCACGCCAGCATGATGATGTACTCGATGCTCTACCTGGCCATCTACCTGCAGGCGGCGCTCAGCACACGCATCTCGAAGCTGCTGAAGCATCTACTGCAGTTTCTGTTCGTCATGTTCGGCTGGTATGTGTCCCTGACCAGGATAACCGACTACTGGCATCATTGGTCCGACGTCTTGGCCGGCGTGCTGTTCGGCGTGGTCTTTGCTTGGCTAACCAGCGTCTATGTGGCCGATCTGTTTGCCTTCAGGCGCTGGAATCGTACTGGCTACTCGGCCAATACGCTGAAGAAGGCCCAGGTCTCCCCGAAGAACTCTACCAAATCCCAATCCAATGCCGCAGCGGTGTCAGTGGCTGGCAACGGAGTTCCACCCGCACTGCCCGCCTACACATTTGGCACGCTGCCCTATCTGGCGGCGCATCCGGCTCAAGCGCAGTATGCCCAAACTTATCACAACTATGGCTACGTTCCCTGAGCCGACTAAGTTGTGCATGAGGCAGGTGCTCCTGGAGCCTCACAGACATAATCTCTGTTTTGTTTTTGTAGTTTAGCGTAATAAAAATTCGATATTAATTATAATATAGCAATGTGTTTCACTTTCGAGAATTCGGCAATAAGATGAGAGGTTGATTGATTGGCGCCCACGAGTAAATCCACAGTAGAAAGTGCGCAATCAATTGGGTCTATCGAGCTGTGGCCATAAATTTGAGAAGACTTGGCGCATGTTTCACTGAAAGTTAGCTAAGTGGAACATCTGAATGTTCAGCAATAGACGAGTCGGAAGGCTGCACGCATAGCTAAATCTCTGCAATTGAAAGATTGGCATTCCAGCCAACCAAAAAAATATTCAGGGCATTGTTGCGATTTCGTATAAATCAAATAATTGATGATTAAATAATGTATTAGAATGTGCCGTATAGTTTTACAGTTAGTTTGAATTTTCTTAAGATATACACAATATGGCCTGCCAGCTGAAAAGAACTTAAAAATGCCTCAAAATACTGTGGAGCTGCAAATAATCAACAGCATTTCTATGGCCCAAATTAGACGTTAGCAAAGCCCACAGCGAAATGGACCTCAGCTAGCCGAGCGACGATGAGAATAAATTAATAAAGATTTGCATACTTGAGCAATCGATAAACAGCCTGGGAATGCTGGCCACGGTGACTTGGGCTGCGACTTGGGCTGTGCATTGTTTCCGAGTTTCCGACAACAAAGAACGTGCTGAGCCGGGTCTTTGGAGGAGGGGGCTTTGAAACAAGTTTTCATGGTGGCAACTATCTTGGCCCCCCGTAACTTCGATAAACATGCAAATTAGCCGCGAACACAGCTGCAAGCCATACCACTTTAGCATCCAAATCTTTGAGCCAGTGTCAAAATGTGCGGCAATCCGAACACCCGACTGCTCTCGCGGCTTATCATAGACTTTCTGCTGCTGCTGTGTGTCTACTGCGTCGCGCTAGTGGTGCTGCCGCAGCAGCTGGTGACAGTCCATCGCGGATTCCACTGCAGTGATGCCAGCCTACGGTATCCGTATCGCCAGCCCTGGCTGACCAAGGTGCACCTGACCATGGCGGTGGTGGCGCTGCCAGCAGCTTTCATTCTCGTCGTGGAGTTGCTGAGAGCTGCCTTTGTGCCCAGCTCTGCAGAGCTGAAGCAGCGATTTGTCTTCGTCGGAACACGCATTCCAAGTTTTATCAGCGAGTGCTACAAGATCATTGGCGTTTATCTGTTCGGATTGGGCCTGGCACTGTTGGTCATCAGAGTCACCAAGTTCTCGACTGGCCGCCTGCGTCCGTATTTCTTTGATGTGTGTCAGCCCAGCTGGGGTGAGGCTGAAGCCAAGGAGAGCTGCGAGTTGCTCTCGCCGCGCAATGCTTCCCGCTACATCGATGATTACAGCTGCACCGAGTTTGCTGCTTCGCTGGAGCTGCTCGCACTGGTGCGTCACTCGTTTCCCAGCGGCTTTGTGGCCACCACAAGCTACGCCATGTGCTTCCTAGTCTACTATGCTCAGGCTCGACTTTTTGCGCCCTGGCTGCGAGTGCTGCGTTCAACGCTGCAGCTGGCCTGCGGTGCGATGGCCATGCTAGTGTGTCTGGAGCGCATCTCCACCTACCAAAACCATTTGTCGGATGTAGCCGCTGGCTTGGCTTTGGGCGTTCTGCTGGCCTCATTCATGGCTGTCTTTGTGGCGCATCTGTTCAGGCAGGTGCGAGTTAAGCGCCGCCAGTGGCCAAGAAATGAGCAGATCTACGGCTATGCGGGCTACTATAATCGGGCCACATATGGCTATTAAATGTCAAATAGTTCAGTTACAAACGACTCGAGTCAATAAATTAAGCTATCAGTTATGCTATTGAAGGTCTTTTTATTAAGGTTCCCAAAGAAAAAGCTTACTGATCAACATACACCTTCAGCAAAGTTACACACCAATTTCTATGACAGGCCAGCTTACGATCCACACAACAAGCGAAAGACCAGTCCACACTCGCAGTTCACGCTAAGCTTACTCTCAGCTCTCGCTCTCTATCTACTCTCTCCTTTCTGTCAACGGCATAACCAGCGTTGGGCAACGATTACAACAACAAGTGCAACATCAACAAGTGGACAAAAGCGTTTTGTTTACAAAGTCAACAACAAACAGCGCTCGACGACGATTCAGTTGCGATCGGCGTGCGGCGCTTCGATGTTTAAATTCGGGTCGGTGCAGTGGCAATAATCGTAAAGCAAATAAACGATCGTAAAGTTAACTTTTATGGTTAATATGAGTACTGCGGCTGTACAATATTAAGCAGAAGGGGGCGTAACAATACGAATTTGTAAATAATGCTTTAAGAAAGCAACAAAAGTGAGTAGAAACAGAAGTATCAGAAATTAACCACAATAAGAGAATGCTTGGTAACCTGACCCTGACATGAAAACTACCAAATTTACCTGTTAAAAATATTTTTAAAAGAGTTAAGAGAAAAAGCTTAAATTCCTTTGAAAAACGGAATGAAAATACAACGTACTTGTACTATAAATAAAATATATGTGCACATGCATACACACGCACATGCGCCTGAATTTAGACATGATAAAATGCTTTTAGGTTTAAAGTTTTCACATTTCACATGTATGCACAAAAAACAAAAATCGTAATAATAATGCATTTAGTGCATTAAGTTCAAAGTGCATTTTAAAATGCCAACGGTTAACCCGCACAACACAAAGTCAAACAGAGGCAAAATAAGCGCCAGCTGCCGCATTCGTGAATGTAATATATGTAGATACATATGCTAAAAAGAGAAACATACACAGACGAGAGCCTTAATTCAATCAAATGTCGCTTATTCATTCAATTAAAGGTCGCGCCATTTGACGTCCCACCAAACGAATACGAGTACGAGTGCGAGTGCGAGTATGAGTACTCACTTGGAGGGGAGGTGAACTCAGTGACATATGAGCGTATGTTTTTTATACCCTGAACCCATTTGAAATGACTAAAGGGGGTATAATCTTTTGGTGCAAATATGTCTGACAGGGAGTAGAGAATATATATATATTCGGGATCAGGCCGACAAGCTAAGACGATCTAGCCATTTGGCCAAACTTGGAAAACAAACGGATTTTTAATGTGCTTTGGTATAAACACACTTTTATATGTTATATTAAGAGTGAAAATTTCATAAAGATCGGACTATAAGCACAAAAGTTAACATTGTCCATACATACATTTTATATATAAAGTAAATGCATGTGAGGGAAATTAGCCTGTTTGCAAGTAGGTAGATAGATAGCTTAGTGCCGAGTTCAGGGTATCTGCTAGTCAGTCACTTGCGAACAGAGTACTATTATTTGTTTTTTAATAAAATTGACTGTTTCAACTTTGTGCATACATGGGTATGTCGCATTCGTTTTGAGGACAGCAGCAACTCCCTCAGCCAGACGGCTTTGACGATCACAGAGATCAGCCAAAGATCAAAGCACACAATGGGGGCCATTCTTGAGCAAGAAGAGCAACAGATTAGCGTGCGCACCATGCTCCCGTTGTCGAGCGCGTCCGCGTTGCACTTTCAGCTGCCGCCAGCAGATGATAATGCAAATCTGCAATTGGGTGCGTGCGACGCGCCTATTTTATGCATCATTTGCCCAGAACAATAGATGATTACTTAGCGAACTGATGTACAAATCAAGTGAGTCACTCTCCAACAGCCTGTTGACCCAAGATATTGGCCAGAAAATGCCATTTTCTTATCGAGCGTCGCAGTAGGTGAAAGCGATTGTTTAACTCTTTTTAAAAAATGAACAATGTCAGAGACGCCCGCATTGTTTTAAAATTAGCTGAGCATCAATGAACTTGCACAAAAAGCTGTTGTTGGGGCAGGTGACGCGGCTGGCGAATCGGACAGAGCAGGCGTGCCTGAGGTGCGCTCTTATCTGGAACACGGGCTTGTTTATCTTATCAAACCGATCTTGAGGCGGTATTTTACTCGAGTTTATCAAGTGCGGCACAATCTACACTGTGCAAATGGCCACAGACTTGCGAATTTTTATACCACATGCGCATTGAAAATGGCTAATAATGGGTATTTTGGGCTTGTGCAGATGTACACCAAAAAAACGAGCTTATTCGATTTAGGCATGTCCGCTGTGTGTAGTTCTTTAATCTATATCTCTTAGCATGTCCAATAAATATATTGCCAAACTAAATGCATCTGTAAGTAGCTTTATAGAGGCTTTTGTAGTCGAGCACAAGAGTTTTGCAATGCCCTAATTCTACTTTCTTGTGTTTACTTTAATTTCTCACATCGGTCAATTTTTCTTGCAGTGCTCCCGACGAATGCAAATACAAGGTGAATTGGTTGTTGTCTAATCTAGACAAATGCAGAACTCAGCTACATTGCTAAGCTCCGTAATAAACTTGCTGTGACGCAGCCGGCGAGTGAGAGGGCGATCCGGGCGAAGGTTCAGAGAGGAAGAGAGACACAGAAAACAATATGAGAAGAGCGCCGTCGTGCATGAAATGATCGTTAAATTAAAAGAACGTTACCCACACGAGGCCGGATCAGTCAGTCACTGACAACGAAGCCGAAACGACGCCAACGAATCCGACGGGTATAAAAAACCAACGAACCCAAAACTTAATTAGACAGCATAAAAAATTGGAATATTAACTAATTAAAAACGCATTGAGACCGACGCCGACGCCAACTACCGACAAAATGCGCGACGCCGCCAATGAAAATAGCACAGCTCCCGCCGCCCCGACGGACAGAGAAATACGGCGTGCCTCCGCCGCCCAGCGCCGAGTGGCGCGCCGCCTGCTCATCGAGCTGCTGATCATAGTGGTGCTAACCATACCCATCTGCATCTTTGAGTTCGCCGTGGAGCCGGCGCGGCGAGGCTTCTTCTGCGACGATGAGAGCATTCGGTATCCGTTCAGTGACAACACTGTCACGCCCGTGATGTTGGGCCTGCTGACCGGCGCTCTGCCGCTCATAATCTTTGTTGTGGTCGAGTATGTGCACGCTCTGCGCTCCGGTGAGCTGTCGTCGACGGTGGAACTACTCGGCTGGCAGATGTCAACCTGGTATGTGGAGCTGGGCCGTCAGTTGACTTATTTTGGCTTCGGTCTGCTGCTGACTTTTGATGCCACCGAAGTGGGCAAGTACACGATTGGACGCCTGCGGCCCCATTTCATTGCTGTGTGCCAGCCGCAGCTGAACGACGGCACACTATGCACCGATCCGGTCAATCTGCATCGCTATGTGGAGAACTATGAGTGCGCCGGGGAGGGCTATACCATTGCGGATGTGCGGCAGACGCGCCTTAGCTTCCCCAGCGGCCACTCCAGCATCGCCTTCTACGCGCTCCTCTACGTGGCGCTCTATCTGCAACGCAAGCTGACTTGGCGCAGCTCCAACTTTACGCGCCACTTTCTGCAGTTTGTGCTCATCATGCTGGCATGGTACACTGCGCTGAGCCGCGTCATGGACAGCTGGCATCACTGGTCGGATGTGCTCGTCGGCTCGCTGATAGGCGTGACCGGAGCCTTGATAACCGCCCGCTACATAGCCAAGTTTTTTCAATCGCCGTTCAGCGACGTCCCTCTGGGCGGTGGACTGAGGAGGGAGGACACCTCGGCCACGCTGCAGGATGAGGTGTGCTCCAGCACGCCACCCCCCTACTGTGTTAATAGCAGCTACAACGAAGATCAGTATTGTACCAAAGTTTAGACAGAGACCCTTTCACGATCGGAAATCGACAAGAGGAAGAAGAGTGCAAAATTGTAATTAAACATTCCAAACCAAATAAAATATACACGCGAAACGCGTCCTGTGCAAAAGTTCAATGTATATATATATACTTGTCAAGCATTGTAGGCACTTTTAGTATTCCTAAGTAGCCTTTAAATCGTGTGGTATTAATATAGTTTGTAGTTTTTTGTAGTCTACAGTCAAATCGTTCATATACATTTGTAAAGATTTCATTCAATATATGTTTCGCTAGAAGTAAGATTCATAACCCTGTCATCTTTTGTTTCTTTTTGTATTATCTATGTAATAAATTTAAGAAGAAAATCATATATGAGTGTTCCTGTTGAGAGTGCCCGAATGAGCACGATGATATCAAATGTTCACGATAGAAACTGACCGATTAGTTTGCGTAGAAACATACAGACGGACAGGCCTCTGTTGAAGCTAATCAAGAAAATATATTATTTTTTTGGGCCGAATAAGTCTCCAAGGTATATTTCCATAACAAACTAGTCAAGGGCAATACAAAGTTCGCAGCCAAATATAATTAAGATACATTCTACATCCAAAAATGGTCCAACGCTAAATGTTTGTAGTCTTTTTGTGATTAGCCTAATACCGAATCAAAATACTCTTTTTATTATGAAAACGATCATGAAAACAATGTTGCCTGTGTTGATGAGTAATATTTACCCAGTTTACGCTTCGTTGAATTCCTCTACTGTCGATTGTTGCGATCCAAATTTACTTTTCCAATGTCACATATTTTGCGTAGGTGCTTCTATTATTATGATTACGCTGTGACACGCATTTATTGTTCCTGTGCTATTTCTTTTATATTTGCTTACATTTATTTTAAAATGATCTACAAATTTCTCCTTGTCTAATCAAAATTCTTCAATTGTTTACTTTTTTCATAGCATCGTTAACAGCAATTTGCTACCTGTATGAGTCACGAATGATATTTTTAACATATAGGTAGAAGTTTGTTGTACCCTGTACTAATGTTATCTCTAAAGCAGGGTAGAAGCGAGCTGCCAAAATGTATTGAGCGAGCAGTCATCTTTTATATAATACATACTTAATGTTTTATATAATTTTTTTTATTTATTACTCAAATATATATTTCCAGCAAACAGCATTAAAATGATTGCTGATGGCTGCAAACTGTGATGGATATTCGCTAAACAGGGTATTTTCTATTCGATTTTTTGAAATTGTCAGCTTTCGACCTTTTTCTGCTGCGTCATGACCACAAACGGAGTAAACTTAATGATAAATTCGTTTTCGGTTAACCTTTGAATGATCGTGGGAATTCGTATGCTTCTGGGAAGGAACAAGCTTTGATCATATCCAATATCGGGATAGTGAATCACGTGTGCCTCGACTATCAAATTTGAATCCCATTGATTACATAATAAGAGCTTTTTAAGAATAATATAAATAGCCCTCGCCTAAAGCTCAACAGAAATCCATAATTGGGTTGTCAAGCGCTCGAATCGAATAATATTATGATTAGACAGTTCCAATTCCGAGCTGCGAAAATAAAACACAAACTCGCGTGTTTTGTGAACCTTCAAGGCCAGACGCAAGAATAAATAAAAACATCTAAGCAAAATAGAGTCCCCAACACGTGCCCCTTGCAGCTGGTTCTTATCAGATAAGCCCAGGAACTCATCGAAGCAAGTGCGAATATTCAGGGACTGACGTGATTACAAACCAGCCCGGGCAATCATTAACTAAACCCATTCCATCCACAATGAGCACGTACCCCTTGGTGGTTTTCCTCCAAGTAGACTGCGTCAGAGCTTTGTTGGGTGGGTCTGGAAACACATACTAAATATGGTAAACATACGCCCACAGGCTAGAACGACTAATGCATTAACTTTGAAAACATTAACATTACTTGGTTCACTTGAAGCTTTAGTTATGTTAAGCATTCAAATTTGAAGATAATTCGGAAATCCTAAAATTTTGATAAATCAATTCTATTCAAATCTTTCAGATATTAGCAGATATGAAAAGGGTCAAGAACTGAGCCAATAAGCGGATTGCAGCCATGTTAGGGTATTCAGTAGTTGCTATGCCTAAGTTGCCAAGTGGTTTCATTGTTATTAATATAAATTCAGCTCATGAAAAGATTAAATTACTAAAGTGGCTGGAACAAAATTTCATAACATCGAATTCTCAGTCTCGGCTTCAACGTTGGGCTCGACTCTCGGTGCGATTAGTGACGCGTGAAACACCCAACCGAGCGAACCAACATGAGCTTCGATCTAAGGCTTAACTGGCTCTCCATATATCGGGGGCACCTGCGCCTGTTGCTAGATGTGGTGTTGTTGGGCATGCTGCTCGTCCTGGGCGCGAACGTCAAAAACCTGTGGGGGCCTACAACAAAACGTGGATTCTTCTGTGACGATGAGACATTAATGTATCCCTACCAGGAGAACACCGTGTCGCCCACCGTGCTCCATTGGATGAGCTTGTATTTGCCGCTGATGGCGTTGCTAATCCTGGAGACGAGTCGATGCTGGCGAACAGCAGGCGTGGGCTGGCAAAAGTTTTGGCCTGTGTACAATACTCTACGCTGGTTCGTGTTTGGTCATGCTGCGGAGACCCTGATCAAGGATATGGGCAAGCAAGTAATAGGCAGGCTGCGTCCTCATTTCTTTGAGGTTTGCCGGCCACAGCTGTTCGATGGAGGCTTCTGTGCGGATGATGCTCATCGGCAGGGCGGCGTCTACCACATGACTTACACCTGCCAACCGGAACTGTCGGGCGCCACAGCGGAGATGCTGCGCGATGTGCACGTCTCCTTTCCCAGTGGCCACTCGAGCATGGCCTTCTATGGGCTTGTGTTCATGGCGCTCCACTTGCAGCGCATCCGCTGGCCGTTGCCTGGCAGTTTAGTGCGTCCATCGTGCCAGCTGCTCTGTGTCGGGTTCGCCTCATTTGTCGGACTGAGCCGTGTCATGGATTACAAACACCATTGGTCGGATGTTGTGGCCGGCTCGCTGCTGGGCGCCTCCATTGCCTTTGCGGTCGTTCGTGCGGCGGGGCAGGAGCAGCAATTGCTTCTAAAAAGTATGCAACAACATGCAAATACAATGGAACCCCAAGCAGCTGCTGTCGCAAAAGCTGGAGCTGGTGATGAAGTGGGCCCAGGAGCGGAACAGCTGCCACATGATTTGTGTCAAGTTACATTCCACAGCTCTAATTAGTTTTAGTTGCGTTTTAGCCTCAGCTTGTTGAGATAAGTTACATTAAAGATAGACAACTAAAAGGATAATTGCGTTGCATTTTTAAGAAGAACAAAATAGAACCCGAGGCATATTGGAGTCATAATAGAACAAAGACTTCAACTGTGCCAGCTGTTGGGCTGGGTTTGTAATAAACCCAGTAATTCGATTATACAATGCAATAAAGTTTAAACACAGCTGTAGTTAATAAGTTGGCCAGACTTTGTAAAATTGCGTTTTCAAACTGAAAATGAGTCTTTTATCGTTATCTTCGTGATCCCGTATAGCTTAGCGTACTGGAGCTATAATACGTGGAACTGTGCAAATATATTTAGAAATGATATCAGTGTGCATAATATTTGCTCAGTAGCTTGGGTGCGCTGAGGGAATTGTATAATATTTTGGGAATTTTTTCTAGTTTGCTTACCCCCGGAAGTGCCTGACTTATTAAAGATCATTACGTACCTGAAAAGAAACCAAAATAAAAAAAATATGATTATTAGAAACTGTCAGCATAAGAAACAGCATGTTTCAAAACTTAAATATCTTAACAACTGGCATGGGATTCTGCTAAGCTTAAGTGTCTTTATGCAGGGTGTAGTCTGAGTTCTTTTGGCAAGTTGACTCATTCTTAGAAGCCACAGATAGCTTAATGGGGCAACCGAACTAGTTGAAAAACTTTGCGCCCAATGCAAATTGATTTCAATTAGCGATCCCTGGAAATTTCACAAACCAAAAACCCATTGAAAGCCACCATCGCGACGTTGACAACGGTGCAACAATTAGCGGCTCTTTTAGTTTCATTAGAGGCAAATTTTCAAACGACTTAACCTCAGTCAACACCCACCGCCGGCACGTCCAGCAAAGGACGAGTAAAATAGAATCGCTAAGAGAAATAAATAAATTTCAGCAGCAGGCGCATAAATTGGCACAGCCAAGGAAATCAGCGGCAATCCGAGAAGCTGATGATGATGCGCAACACCTGAGCCTGAGATTCGTGCGGTACAGGACTCGAGACTCGGACGATTAAAGTCTACCCTCATCAGGACACGGAAGCTTTTGCCAGCCATTTTCACTTGTGGCCCGCTTAATTGGCTCATTTATTTTGATGGCAGAGAATATGTTGGAAAAGTGTGGCGGCTTTTTTTTCCGCATAGCTCTCGCATTTACCTGGTTCTCTGCTGCCTCTGGTTTTATTATGATTAATTATGGCACAAGCACACAATTACATATATACACACACTGCACACACACAGGGAAAGTGACCCTAAGCTCCAGTTTCTTGCCAAGTTTTGCAAGTGTGTCAAGTTGTTGTTATTGTTGTTGCTGCTTTTATTGCGGTTGTTGTAGTTATTGTTATTGTTGTTGTTGTTGTTGTTGTTGTTGTTGTTGTTGTTGTCTGGCCCGAGATTCGAATGATAAATTTCTATGCAATTTATTTTAATCTGCTGCGACAGAGACCCACCGTTACCCTCTCCCGTCTTAACTATCTTTGCAGCTAGTTTCCATGCGTTAATTAAATGGAAAATATTTGCACATAACAACAAAGTGAGTGGCAGGAGTCCCGGGGAGCGAACGGAAAGGGGTTGCCTCTAAACTTTTGCTGCAATCCTACACAGTGACCTACATTTTGCATTAGCGAAAGTTTTGTTTTTCCTCGTGGCAAAAACAACAATTAGCAACTGAGAAGGCCATTCAAACTGGTGCAGATCCTCCCTATGGTACGGTTAAAGCTACCGAGTATGAAGAATGACACCGCCTGTCACGAAACCGATACCACAACGTGCAACTGTATGTACAGAAGTCGCGTATGCAGTTTCTAAGGAAGTTGCATGGAAAAAAGGGGTTTGTAAAAAAGGTACACTTTCCTTCTATATACTCCTTGCGATTTGGCTTAATTTAAATTGAGGGACGTTTTGATTGACAACCGCTCGATTTGCTTAAAGTAACCCTGCAACTCCTCAATCCCGTGACACACCCAGAAAAGTCGTAACCATCAATCAGCAGGTCGCTTTACTCATACTGTTTCAGACACCTCCGCCTCTGCCAATGCACAATCGGTACATGTTTTGGTGCAGCGCCGTCTTC